GAACCACTTGCTCTGAAGCAATGCAGAGAAGGTGAAAGAACTTCAATTACTGCCTAAAAACTGCAGCAGGTTAAGTCCAAGAAATTAACCTGCCTGGTTTTTCCCAGCCTGGCCTATTTAACATCATGCCATCTGGACAGCTGAGAAATGGTGAGCAGCTGCTGGCTCTCGCTGCCTAGCACTGCATAGGAGAGTAACAGTACTGTTGGGAGCACAGTTCAGGCTCACCCCAGATGCAGAATTAGCTATTCCTACCCTGCACTGCCTTTTTTAGTTCAAACACATTCTTCCAAATCTTCTGCTAACCTGCACAGTCCTTGTACACTCAGAACTCAAGGCAGGGTACAGGCCCTTAAGCTTCATGTGAGCATCAGCTCACCTTGTTTTGAGGTCTCAGAAAATGAGATTCAGCCAGCTGCCTGGATAAATGTTACTCTGATAGATGTCTCCTGCTCGCTGTAAGACCAAGTTTCCTAGCATAACCTGTTCCCATTTGCTCTGTGACTGTATCTGACCAAGGCCTCCTGTCTGCACAAAAGCCTGTTCCTGACCAAGGCTTTTAGGAAAGCTGCTGCATCATTTCAGAATAAGAGAGAGGCAAATCCAAGACAAACATGTGGAGCAAGGGCAGGACCAAGGCTGGACAGCTTATTTGAGCAAAGCAGGCTTCTTTCTAAGCTCAAATACATTCCCAAGCCCTCCTTCCAAGGCACCCCTTCCTCCAGGCTGAATCACTGTATGCTCAAGTGCCCTGACTAGTCAACACAAAGACACCAGCTCCCACAGGGAGAAACACAGAGGTCCACAACAGGGACCAAACCTTGGATGACCCTCTACCCTCAGGCCCTGCTGGAATGATGAATCCTATTGTTTTTCACTCATCTCCATTTGCACGAGGCTGAGATCCCAGATGGCCAGAACAGTGACTCCTCTGCTCTGCCCCAGTGCTTGCTGCATGGCACCTAAAGAGCTCAGCAGGGTCAAGTGGCTCAGAGTAACTCTACAGTCACAGACAGACGGGAGACATCATCAAGCCATGATTATAAAAGGAAAACAGACAGCGCAAAAAACTTGCTGCAGCTGTCATGGAAACATCTTTTTTTATTTAATCACTGCCCCAGGAATACCCAAACCCATCATGACCTCCCCCACCCTCAGTATCCAACAGGAATTCACAAGTTCCCCGTTGCCTCCAATGTTTAGGCTCCCCTCCTCCTTTAAGGTCCAAGTTCCTCCAGAAAAACTCTAGTCAGTGGGTATCATCTGTGAGATGGCTCCAGGGGGCCATGGCTAGGTCCCAGCGGTGTCCAGCTGGGTCTGAGAGGAGGGGGATGAGGATTTGCTCCTTTACTCAATTAGTTTCTTGGCTTTGAAGAAGCGACGCAGGTAGAAAACCTGCCAGGTGGCCAGTCCGATGAGACAGCACATGGAGAAAATGCTGAAGTACAGAACCCGAGTGTTCGTTGACTCTGAAACAGACAACAAACCATTGCACACAAGTCTGACATCACAGGATGTGCCCCAAGAGGGCAAAGTTCCCAGGATTTCCTCTCCCCACCCATGCAGAAATTCAAAGGCAAGATAGCATACAACATGAAGGCAAGGGCACCCGAGCACCAACAGTGCTTGAGAATAAAGCAGATGGAACAATGAGAAGGATAACGAGTGGGAACAAGGTGAAGCTGTGGTTAATGGACAACATTAAATGGTACAGAGTAATTCACACTAGGAATGGAAACAGAAAGAAATGGTTTTTAGAGATGGAACACTCAAGACTCAGTGAATGCTTCAGGTTTCCCTTGCTAGGAACAGATCAGGCAGAGACCCCTATAATTGCTTGATCTCCAAATGCTGCCCTAATAACACATTCAGCAGAAAGAGAGGGTCTTAGAGTTCCATCCCTCTGAATGGGCACACAGTCTCTCACCATTCGTGTCCCTCATTTCTTCTTCTCGTTTCTTCATATAAGCAAAGTCATTAACAATGGACTCTGAAAGATCTTCCAAGCGCCTCAATTCTACTTCCAGAGGCTTCAACTTTTCCACTTTGGCAATCTAGAAAACAGAAGAGTCAAATCACTGAGACAAAACCAAAAGCTCTCACATGGGTTTTTACTGCCAGTTTGAACCACTCCTCCTCACATACTACAGATCTGGGGCATCCTTCCCCTCGGGAAATACCTCTACAAGCCAGAAACTACCATTGCATAAAACACTATCACTTCTCCCACCTGTTCTCTGAAACACACTTTCCTACTACTCCTCCTACACAACGGAGGAGCACAGCATGCATACAAGCACATTTCTTCCTTATTCGGCCTAATGTTAGCGTATTCACAGTTAGCTTATGAGCAGTGGGTAGAAGATCTTGCCACATGACTAAACCTCCAGTGAACAGAAATCACAGACTGAGATACAGGTGACTAACATATGCATACAATGCTGTTCCACAGGCACACAGGGCATCAGCACCGAGACACTCTTTGCTAGCTGTTGCCACACGCCCCAGAAAGCCCAGGCAGCCCGACTGCCAGCAGCGAAGGTCGGATTACCGCCCAGGAGCTCAGGGGCAGCGCAGGCTCGGGGCAGGGAGCGCGCAGGGGCAGGGAGCGCGCAGGCATGGCGCTGTGTCCGCCCCGT